CCAGATTCAACTCCAAAGGAAGGAAAGTGTCAGTTATACAATGCTATGCACCCACAAACAACGCAGACCTCGAAAAGAGAGAAGAATTCTACAGACAACTACAGGCAACAATGGACAATACTCCAGTCGGCGACATTAAAATACTAATGGGAGACATGAACGCCAAACTGGGATCAGACAACACAGGAAGAGAACTCATCATGGGTAGAGAAGCTCTCGGAGAAATGAATGAAAACGGAGAACTCTTCGCCGACTTCTGCGCCTTCAATGAACTAGTGATTGGTGGCAGCGTATACAAACACAAGGATATCCACAAGGCTACATGGGTGTCACCAGATGGGCGAACCAAAAACCAAATTGACTTCATCTCAATATCAAGGAAGTGGAGGCGCAGCCTACTGGACACGAAAGTAAGAGGAGCAGACGTTGGCTCAGACCACTACCTCCTACAAGGAACAATCCAAATCGAATTAAAAGCTTTCAGAGAAACAGGAGCTGCAGATAGACCACAAGCCAAGTTCAACACTCAAAAACTGAAGGACCAGGACACAAAGGACATCTTCACTGCAAGCATAAAGGACAAAGCCGAGACACAAATCAACACTAGCGAAGAGGTCAGCGTCGAAAAGCACTGGAACAACTTGAAAACAGCGTGGAGTCAAACCTGTATGGAAGTTCTAGGCAGAAAGAAGAGACAGGACAAACAGTGGCTCACTACGGACACTTGGAGACTGATAGAAGAGAGAGGGATGGTGAAACAAAAGATTCTCCAGTGCACCGACGAGCAACAAAAACAGGATTTGAATGCAAGCTACAAGACACTGAACAAAAGAGTAAAGAAGAGTGCCAGGGAAGACAAAAGAAAATATTATGAAGCCATGGCAAGTGAAGCAGAACAAGCTGCAGGCAAAGGAGACCTCGCAACACTCTACCAAACAACTAGGTACCTATTGGGCAAACGTTTGACACAAATCAAGCCGGTGAAGGATGACAATGGAAAGTCACTCACCAAAGAAGTGGAGCAAAGGAAACACTGGGCTGAACACTTCAAAAGACTCCTAAATCGACCACCACCTACAACGCGCCCAACAATACCAACGACGGAGACGGAGCTACCAGTGAACACCAACCCCCCGACGAAATCAGAAGTCCTGAAGGCAATCAAGATGCTAAAAGCTGGAAAAGCAGCAGGACCAGATGGAATCCCAGCAGAAGCATTGAAAATGGACCCAGAGACAACAGCGGACTTGATGACGCCACTACTGGAGAAGGTGTGGAAAGAAGGCAAAGTACCCGAGGATTGGAAGAAAGGGTACTTATTCAAACTACTAAAGAAAAGAGACTTGAGTCAATGCAAGAACTGGCGCGGAATTATGCTCCTGTCCATCCCAAGCAAAATACTAAGCCGCATCATCCTGGAGAGAATCAAACAAGCCCTGGATGGAAAGCTTCGACCGGAACAGGCTGGATTCAGGAGAAACAAGTCATGTATTGATCAGATCGCCACATTACGGATCATCATTGAACAAAGCTTGGAATGGCAGTCACCTCTCTATCTCAACCTCATCGGCTTTGAAAAGGCATTCATCACCGTCGATCGAGAGGTGATTTGGCAACTACTTCGCTACTATGGGGTGCCACCGACAATTATACATCTCATCCAACAGCTGTACGACAATGCTGCATGCCAAGTAATCCACAACGGGAAACTTACGGAATCCTTCGAAGTGAGGACAGGAGTAAGACAATGCTGCCTACTATCGCCAATGATTTTCCTGATTGCAGTAGACTGGATAATGCGACAAACAGCGGGCAATGAGGAAACAGGCATAAAATGGACTCACACAAAAAACTTGGGGGATCTGGACTTCGCCGATGATATATGTCTGATTTCCCACAAACTGGAAGATATGCAAGCGAAAAGCAACAAGTTGGCGATAGAAGAAGCATCAAAGATAGGACTGCAGGTGAACATAGAGAAAACAGAGGTAATGAAGATTTCTGGACATGAACAACAACAACAACAACAGACAACGATCAGCATAAATGGGAGGGACCTGAAAGAAACAACCTCTTTTACCTACCTGGGAAGCATCGTTTCAGCAGGTCTACTACTTTCATTTATAATCTAGCATTTCAAACATAGTCTTCCCGAATGTCTAACGTCGCTCTGAGAGCTATTTCTATAGCTATAGGTGTATTCTTCATATTCTTTGGGACATTGAAACTAGCCCCATTATTTTCCGATGAGTTATATCGTAGTGTGAGAAAGAGTTCCATTAGAATGCTTCAAACATTTCCGCTTAGTTCATTGACTGGATGGAATGTTAGTCCTCATGTGATTAGGCGAGTTTATGGAGCAATGGAAGTTGTCGGTGGTGTTTGTACTTGCATCTTGTCCAGGTATCGCACAAGATGTTGTACTGCTTGTCTTGATGTTACTCCACTTGTTTGGCGTTTTGTGTGCAGGAGATGGGTTAAGAGAAGCATCCAATGCTATTGTATTATGCTTGATGTTGACCTGCAGATTCATCATAAGAGCTCAAGTGAGTTTGTTTTTTCTGTGAAAATTATGCTTTCACAGTAATACTTTTCAAATTTGTATGTAAGTTGCGTATTTATTTAGTGCTTTGGGATTTGGAGGTGTGGTTTACTGGATAATGCATTTATGCGTCGGTGGCACAGCGGTTATGACTCTCACCGATCATGCACATGGTCCGGGGTTCGATCCTCTGCCGACGCACACCTGATATCTATGGTCGGCCTGCAAAATTTGGGCTACCGATATCACATGCTGAAAATTCCATACCTGTACCAAAAAATACGGTGCGGAATCAAGCTGTAATAAAAATCAAAATCAAACTACAGGCGAACGGAACTGACGAGGATATCAAAGCAAGAATCGGAAAAGCAAGACAAGCTTTCACTACTCTCAAGTCTGTGTGGAGGTCAACAGCACTCAGCATCAAAAATAAGATCCGGATTTTCAACCCCAATGTGAAGTCAGTGCTACTATACGGATCAGAGACTTGCACTGCGCGTCATAAAGAGCATCTCAAACAAACTACAGACCTTCATTAACAGTTGTCTTCGCTCAAGATCAGATGGCCAGAAAAGATCAGCAACAGGGATCTCTGGGAGCGAACCAACCAGGAACCGATTGTGAAACAAATAGGCAAGAAGAAATGGAGATGGATTGGCTGGTCATACTCTGAGGAAACCATCAAGTGACATCACTAGACAAGCCCTTGAGTGGAAACCGAAAGGGAAGCGGTGAGTTGGTCGTCAGTGCAAGGGTGACTTGGAGGAGGTCATGTGAAGAGGAGATGAAAACGTGTGGATAGACTTGGAGCCAGGTAAAGACTCTAGCAGAGAACCGAACGCAATGGAGACGCACCGCTGAAGCCCTATGTTCCTCTAGGAATTGAAGGAAATAATAATAATAAAGAATATGATTGACAACTTTGAACTCTACAAGAGATACGTTGACGACACCTTCATCATCTCCAACAACGAAGAGAATTTAGAAGATATCTTCAACAACTGCCATCCTGCGATTCAGTTCACACTAGAGAAAGAGTGTAACTCAAAGATATCTTTTCTTGATGTTCAACTAACGAGACGCCAACAAGACGGAACATTAAAAAGATCCATCTACAGAAAGCCAACGTGGAACGGACAGCTCACTAACTTCCACAGTTGGGTGCCTCCATATACTAAACGAAACCTAATCCGTTCATTAAGCCAAAGAATACGTAGAATTTGCAGCCTGGACGCCATAAAAGATGAAATGAACACTCTTAAGAAAATCCTCCTTGAAAATGGCTATCCAGAAAGATTTATCACACAATCAATGAAACCCAAACCAGAGAAGCCGCCCACACCCAGTGCTCCAAAAAGACTTCTCTATATGAACCTACAGTTCAATGGAGACCAATCTACAGAAATACTGAGTAATCGGCTTTCCCGCTCATTGAAGAAAAGCTTCTTTGCAGCTGAATTACGACTGACGTTCTCCACGAGACCAATGATTCGCATGAACATGGAGGATAAGCGACCGCTGTTGGCCTCATCTATGTGCATCTACCAATTCACCTGCTCGTGTGGAGCCAGGTATATCGCCCGTACTTAGTGTTCGCTATCCAAACGCGTCACCGAATATTTACCTTCATGGTTTCAAAAAGGAGAAAACTGATGCACCCGCAGCTCGATCCTTGAACATTTGGTCGATTCAGGACACCAAGTCAAACCACAAATAAACTTCAAAGTTATCTACAGAATACAAGGCAATCTTGCCAAAATTGTACGGATCAAACTTCTCCACATCGCAGAAGCAATGGCAATTCATCTGCTAAATCCTGAACTCTGCATACAAGAGAAATTCGTTCATTCATTAGATCTACAATGGACGTAATCTTTCTTAATTTCAGTTTTACTAAATGTATTATTTTGTCTTTTGCATTATTATTTCACATCTTCATTTGTATTATTCTCTACCCCACCCTTTTGTAATCTCTACCCTTATTAACAATGTTGCTAACTCGACCCACGTCCAATTTCTAGTCAACTATATTACGTCATCCGATTAACTTACTTAATTTTCAACTGTATTATTCTCTACCCCCACCCTTATTTGATTATAACCACCACTCATTAACACTGTTGCCAACCTGACCTACTTTGAATTCTACTCAATCGTATTACGTCATCCAATTCACTTAATTTTATTTTATTTTCTATCTAATTAACGTTTGTTTACAAACCAAATAATACTGATTTTACGTAATTATCTAAACTTTATAAATCTAATGTACACACACAAACAAAATTGTATATAAATGCGGTTGTACAGCTCAGTGAATGAATTCGCCAAAAAGAGTTTCTTCGCTGAAAGCCTCCTTTTCTTCTATATGACTGAATGGGGATTTTCAAGTTATTTTTCTTATGACTCAATATGGGAATAATCTGTTGATTAAAGTGGATTTACTTTTAATTTCTAGCTGGATGTCCTGCTGATTTCATTGAGGGTTTAAAAAAGGTAATTGGTTATTTATTTATTTTTTTTTGTTGTCGTGTTCCCTTCATACTATACATGTATAATGTTTTACAAAAATCAGGAGAAAAAAAATCAATTTTTCAGGTGAAATGCAAATTACCAATTGTTTTTAAAATGATTTTACTTTAGAAAAAAAAATGATTTGCCTCAGTCATGTTGTGGATATTTTGAATTTTTGCTGCTATTACAACGTGAAGCGTTCAGTGCTGCATTGACTGCGGCACTCAACTTCCACCCATTAGGTCACAGGTTCAAACCACCACTGGATCTACTCAGGTTTGGACAGGTAGATATTGTTACTAGTCTTCGTCCAACAGGGGCGGCCCATCACCACTGACTAACTGGAAGCAGAAGTAGTTGTTGAATAAAATTCCATACTTGTTGTATACAATTTGGTACATTTCACTCTAGTAGTTACTGGTTAAGTTCATAATCGCACTTAATAAACTCTTTCTTTAATTAGTCGAAAATATGCAATAATTTTCTAATTGAATATTCTGATTGACAAGCGTTACTTTGGAATATATTTCGGGTAATGGATCAGTATACCGACATCGATGCTATTGGATTGAATGTAGTCGCAAAGGAAACATACGGTTTCTGTCAATGGAACGTTGTTGAAGGGAGAGAGACGACATCCAGGGAGACCATTTTCTTTTCTGCCACATTGATATTCTTAATTGAATCAACAAAGTCGAATGTGTCGTGGAGGTTGTGTCTTGACAGCTTCTCTTTTACCGGCCCGAGAAGCTCCACCATCCGTTTCGCGATTGTATGAAATGGGGAATCCATCATATCTAGTGTTGGGTGGAGTGGGACGTCTTGTTTGTGCACTTTAGGTAAGCCGTACATGCGCGGCGTTGTAGAACCAGATGGGCGTAGTTGTTCGTATAGTTTTGAACTGATAGATCGTCTTTCATTTTCTTCAATATTTTTGTTAGCTGGAGCTCCGTCTGTTCGGTGGGATCTTTCTGTGGAGACTGTTTCTGAAACTTTTTCTCATCAGATAGTATCACCGAGAGTTTGCTTAGGTAGTCTGATTTGTTCATCAAGACGATTCCAGAGCCTTTATATTTCGATATAATAAGGGATTATACTCTATCTGGAACACTTATTTATTATAAATTTTCTAATATATTTTTCCTTTCTTTGCATTCTGAGTGGAAAGTAGGACATCAAGCTATGAGCTATTAATTTTCTGTAGCGGTGGTGTCGTTTTCTCTGGGTGACATTGCTAACCTCACGCTGGACCTTCTTTCTTTGCGGGGCTAAAAAGCGGCTAGGTGGGGGTATAAAAGTGTGTTGGTCGGGAATCGAACCCTGACCAAAAGTGTGGTTGGCAAGCATTCTACCCCTAAACCAGCGACATATTACTATATATATATTGTTGCGATTATGTTGACTATACATTCATTTTCTTAATTTTCTTTTTCTTATTAGCTTCCATCTGGCAAACGCGAATTAACTCTCAAATATCCACACTTTTTTCCTACCATGGAAAAAGCATCAAATCCAGAGACAAGAAAGAAATTAGAAAATGCTTTCAACTCAAGGTGAGTGTAGTCATTGTTTGTGACAATGTAATACAGAAATGAAAAGTTCACTTTTCAATTCGTTGAATAAAATAATCATACTGCAACTTAATGAGTTAGTAATTCTATGGTGTAATGCTCGTTACACATTTAGTCAGGATTCGATTCCTGGCCAAAACACATTCCGGAACTTTGTTTAACCTCTAGCAAACCCGGTAGAGACGGAGGGTTGAGGGCGAGGCTCGCAACCCCGTAAACAAAAATACCACTGCCACTGAAACTTCAGTGAGTTTGAACCCGTATGTTCCACAGAGAACGGAGGGGGAAGAAAGAAAATTCAACTCAGTGATTGAACAATGAACTAACTTGTCGCTTCCCCTTATGGTCCCATTCACGGTCAGGCGTGTGATGTCACTTGAAGGTCTCATTGGAGTAAGTTTAATCCATCTCCATTTCCTTCGACATACTCGACCGATAGTCGCTACCTTGATTTGGTGGTCGGGCTTGCACATCACGATGACCCAACAAGCTACACTGGCTGGAACTATTCTTCCTGCAGGTCCTACCATGCCAGGAAGGTTGTTAGGATAGCGATTAGACTAGAAGCAGTTACCGGCTTACTGTAAGAATTTTTTTACACTATGCTGGGGGTCTATGGGCGAATTCGTACTGCTGGGGAGCAGGGATGTAACAGCAGTGATTTGTTTTCCTCAAATGACCAGCATGCCAGCTATGCTATCTTTCCACTCTGGAGAGAGAGGGTTACAAAAGGTCGACCCCAACAATTGTACATCCCGACTTACCTTACGGTGGTCCATAACCGGTGGTAAGTGCACTAATACGGAACCAAACCAAGAAACCAGTTCATACAGACTGTGTGTTGCTGGCTTCAAGCAGTTGTCCCCTAAACTCTGCGGTCACGCAACACTAACCCTCTTCCTATTTCAGGTACCCAAAGAATCAATCAACTTACACGGTTTGGGCAGCCGACACACTTCTAAAGGCACACGAAGCCTCCCCGAGCATCATTCTTCTTCGACATATATGTTGGTCAATACTTTCTTGACTGAATCGATGCTTTTCCGACCAGCTATCCGAACCCCAGTATTGGGTGGAGGCAGCTGTTGATGACATTCTGCAGCAGGAATCATCGACGATAGTAGGCTGACTAGTCTTACTCCTGTCTTCATTTCGAATGCTTCCCTGAGCTTTCGGTTGTGAATGACTTGGCGTATTTCGGTTTATAAATGTTTGCTGCACTGCACTCTTTAGTATTGGAGCAGTCGCTAAATTATCTCACGGTCGATGCCGTCGAAAGCTTTTTCAAAGCCAATAAAGCTTAGGTACAGGGTTTACTGCTATTCTAGGCTTTGTGTCGATGATGATGATGCACAGTATTGCAATGTTTTATGCACATGATTTGCTTCTCCTGCATCCAGTCTTTTCCTAGCGAAGTTTTACATCCAGGACATCTTGTAATATTTCCAGGATGATGTATCCATCTGATGAAACCCACATCGTCTTTTGTATATCCTTGTGTTGTGCACACTACCTCCAGTTACCGAATCATTAAACGTGCAGAAGTCTACAGAGAGTTCTCCGTTTTTATCAATTTCACCAAGCACCTCTCGACTCCCCCAATCCAAGCAGCCTCGAACGTGATACTGACATTTAGTGTTCCTTTGCTGTTGTTCAAGGAAGACACATCGGCCGGCTATCTGCCGGAGGGCTTTCGTCAACTGGCATCACCCGTCCTCGAGTGGAGGAGTCTTCCATTTCAATGAGGAATAGGTCTTCGTTTATGTACTTGGAAGTCCCCCCAGGGGTGGGGGAGGGTACTTTCTGCGGGGTGGAGTTGCTGATCCTATACCCAACATTATCTCTTTGCCGGGTTGAGGATTGGCTGGTAAACTAGACGACGTTGCTCATAAATACACTACTGCTTAATCCAATCTACAATTTCTACTCCTCGGTGTTACATTAACTTCAAAAAGTCTGAATCTTGTGTGTTAGTGAAAAGTCATTAGATTACAGTTGAGTCCAGCGAAGACAACAAAAGGAATTTCATTACCATTTTATTTAATTCTTCTCTTTTAACTCCTTTAGGTGCATTAAAGAGAATACTCCGATTTTAAAACGTTTGATGGAACTACGTAATGAAGTAAGTCTAATTTATTTTCACAAGTAAACAATTAATGTTAATCAGTTAAGATCCATTGAAGACTAAAAAGACCATTGGTTAAACATTTTTATAGCAGTTCAGGATTCATCAACATTTTGCACTTAGGACACCATAAAACTTTTTCCGTCCAATAGCTACATGGTAAAATGCTGTAGGTTAAAGGTTGGGTTCGCATTGCTGCAGATTTGTAGAGTGATGCGAAACAACTTTTGAGTGGTGCTTGATTTTTCGTGCTTTTTAATTGATGCTAGTTGATAAGATAGTCTACTTTGTAACCAATCGAATTGCGCCATCGATGTGGCCTCAAAACCTCTTCAATTCACTTACCTTACCTATCTAACACTCTGTATCTCACCACATTGCTCCACTTAACAGATATAATTAAGCCAAAGCATGCATTGTCTAAAACCATGGGTATTTTTTATATCTATATTCAGTCACCACATCTCAGTTATAAAGTAGGGTGGAATGGACTGCTGTGCTGGACATACTCCTTTAAATAGCTTACCTGATACATAACCCGTGGCAAACATCGAACCAGCCCTTTTATCTGTGCTGAGATTTTTTTCAGTAGTGAGGCATATGCCTCCTCCTCCGAATGGATATGAAATCTAGAAATTAAGGCACTCCTTTGAGACCCCTGACATTAAGTATATATTTTTCCTAAACTGAAATTTTTTAATTTTAATTGTATTAAATGAGAAGCTTTTATGGTAATGTTTCTTATTGAAAGGAATCTCTGACGTACATTTTTTCGATGAGTAGTTTTTACTCGAATGCCTGTAGTCATACTAAACCCTTTTGGTAGGCTACCTCGTGAAGTAGGCGTCTACATGGAGTAGTGTTCATCAAAGATTAACTCTTATTTGAATCATCCGTATGATAAATTGACTAGTGACGTGTATGTACTGATGTTTCACCATCTTCATAATTGCAATAACTTGTTTCTTTTTTCTTGCTTCGCTTTTTTCAACAACTTTCGGTTACATTGCCTCTATTTTTTCTTGTTTTCTTCTGCCTTCCTGTTGGTGCTGATTTAGAATGTAGGTGTGTAAATTTCAGTCACTTGGCAGTTGTACTAACTGTCACATGTTGGTGTTGTCGACTTCAGTTCAAAGCTTTTTTAGGTGAAGAATTTCGCTTTTCATAGATCTTTGGCACTTTATCATAAGTCTTTTGTCACTCGACTTAGAGTATACACTACACTCCCGTCATTCAGAAGTCATTTGTAGGCAGGTTTTGCTAGCTGTATAAATCAAACGACTAAAAGCTGACTTGTGTATCTAATAAAAAGTTGTAGTAAGAGTCTTGCTCCACCTTGGTAATTCAGTGCTTAACCTTAACTGATGATTACATATTTTAATAAATATAAATGTTAATTTCTTTCCGCTGTCATTTAGTTGGTTACGTCATCGTCTATTGAAAGTTACATTCGATGTGTCTAATGTCTGACTGAATGAGCTTAACTCACAATATATTTTTTTCATATCTTGTTTGCTTACACACAGTCTCCCAGCAAATATGTAATCTTATTATTTAACCCCTCCTGTTTTTGTCTTATTCGAGCAAATTCAATCAGATTACGTGTATGACTTTAGCCGTGATTCTATATTTTACTGACGTGACATTTCGATTCATCTGTGCACCATAACCTTAATTGTTTCACATCTTATCACCAGTGTGCTGAAGTGTATTAAAATTGTAATTCCATATTAGTTTGTTTATTAGATATATCACACAGTGAAACATTATTATTGTTTACTGGATGACAAAGTTTCGATCAAAATTTATTGTTCATAATCATATCAATTGATATGATTATGAACAATAAATTTTGTTCGAAACGTCATCCAGTAAATAATACTGTTTCACTGTGTGATATACCTAATAAACAAACTAATATGGAATTACTTCCTACCACAGTGCCCAAGTTTTACACATATATTAATATTAAAATTGTAATAAAACTGTTAACTTTCATCATTCAGTTTGTAAGTAGTTGACAATAGATTAGCCGACATCATAGAACGGATCCGTTTTATTCTACTCTGTGTAATAATTGTTATTGTCCTGTTCAAATCTATGTTCTTCTGAAGCAGTCAGTATTGAGCATAAACTAAGTGTGTATTGATTTGCTTTACGCTTCAGGTTTGATGTGTCATTCCTGTTTGTCTGTTAGTAGAGTTTGTAGCTGATTGATGAATTCTATCCCAGTGGGTTGAGTAGTCGATAGGTTCGCCTAGTGTAGTGACCTATAGATTCTCGCTTCGATCCTTAATGGGTGGGTGTATACTGATGAAGAGACGCAAACTAGAAAGAAATAACTGTTGGTTATTGCCTTGCATTCAACGGTTCTCTAACTGATGTCAGTTTATTAGTTCACTTGAAAACTCTTTAAGATAGAGTATTACGGTACGTAAAGACCTTTAATACTTCATCATAGACCTTGCGTTACTTGTCTTGGTGACAAATATATATATATTCTTTACTCCATTCAAAATCATTTGCCAGCTGTATAAATCTGTGTTCATCTGGATCAGTTTGTATTGAACACAAATTAAAGCGTCCAATGATTCATCTTACGTTCAAGGTTTAGTCTGTTATCTCGGCTTGTCTGTTAGTCATCTTTATACCTAGTTTATGAACTAGACTCTGATCCCGATGCATTTCAAAAACATAAATATATAAAGGAAAGAAAAGAAAAGGTGGGTTCTGTGGAAGCTGTGGAGTTGATTGTATTCCTGTTGTTCAACTCACTACTTGTTTGATCGATAAAACTGAAATGGGACTTTTACTAATTCATCTAGCCATCGCACTGATTGATAATTTCTGCTTAGGGAACATTGCTCGCCCCCTTCCCCTCCCCCCACTCATAAAAATTATATTACTCACACAAGCTCCCATTGAAGTTATATCAGTATACAAAACATCTATCATTTTTGTAGACACTTGATCACACTTGTCATTTGTAAAGAAAACTGTGACTTCGGTAATGTATACATATAATAGTGTAACAACAGAAGACAAGGGTCAGGCAACAGATCGTTTATTAAGGAAAATCAACACATGATTATAGATTTTAATGTACATTATTGTAGATTATTGTTAGTTGAAAATGCAGTCTTTTGATCGGTTGTTTCTCACAGAAAGTTAACCTTGCATCTCTTTGTGGCTGTGTCAGATCATCCATATGCTAACTGTACCCGCCTACGCAAAGCCTTTGTTCTCATTTTCTCACCACCAATATTGGGGACATAAACATTGACGTCAATTACTGTCTACCAACTTTGGCTAGTAGCCAGCTCTCACCACAATAGAATACTTGACTGATGACAAGTCAGTGCATCATAAATTTGCGCAGTGTCGGTGATTTCTTGTCCATTTTTACAATTATATAGTAAAATTATTAAAGTATAAACATTTAATACCAATGTGGTTGTTAGAATTGACATTCAAATGTATGAATTATTGGGTAATAATGAAGGTTATCATAATAACAGTAGTAAAAAGGATAAATTCATCCAATGTTTATGTAATCTGGATAGTCAGTCCTTGTGAATGTTCAAGTATAATATATGCATATTTCTGTTGTTTCAGAGGGATTAGATAGTAGCATTAAATGTGAATAGAAAGATTTCTATCTTAGTTCGTTGGTTTCAATGCAGTTGCACTCTATGGTCTGGATAGTGTAGTTGCTGAGCTTTCGTTGTGTTCCTAGACAATGTCTTCAGTTTAAGCTTTTTTGTGAAAAAAGGTAATATTAAGCATATGCATGGTTGGAGGTCGAGCGCCTAGAGCAATGAGCTGTAGCGGAATATTTAAACATTACTAGTGGATAAAACAACTCCAAATGGAATAATAATGCTACCTACAGAATGGAGACAGAATGGACTACACTACACCTGAATAACAAGCGAAAATTAATCTGATGCTCACTAGTAACTGACAGCCAGATGAAGTTGCCTAGAAATGTAATAAGAAATTGTGATTAATGGGATCCACTAGGTCAGATGCGAGAATAAATACTCACTGATGACATTGGTTAGCTATGGCGCTATACAACTCGAAGTGACGGGAGTTCGAATCCATGAGCCATTAGATCCCATCCCATTAACACTGGAGTGCTCGACGAGGTGGCCTCATAACCCGAAGATTTTTAGTTCAATCTCTGGTGGTGGTGAGGCCATAGGTACGTGTCACTGAAGAGTCAAAAACACAGACGAAATAACTGTCTGGTACCCCTTGGTTTTCACTTGTTCTCTAATTTAAGTCAGTCTGTGGGCAAACTTGAAATCAATCAAATCTTTACAAAATAACACTTGAATAGATTAATTTATACATTATGATATTTTCTATGGTTTGGTTTTTAGGGGTTAGTTATGTTTTCACGAGTTGATCACGGATTGATATCATTTAGAGAACCATTGAAAACCAGCCATGGAGTACTGGACAGCTGCTGTTTCATCCTAGTTTGGGAATCATCGGCAGTACGCACCCACTGTCAGGGTTCGAACCCAGGACCTTCCGGTTACAAGGCAAGCTCGTATACCATTCAGCCACTGGGACCCGATTCATTGGCTCATGAATTCTAACTCGTAAAAACATAACTAACCCTTACAAACCAAACTATAGAAAATTAATATGATGCTCGCTATTGACTTGCTACAGAATGGAGTTTCCTGGAGTTCCAGTGAGAAGCCGTGACCAGTGAGGTTCAACCAGATGTCACGTGTGTGGATGGATGTCCCAGCAACAACAATGGTTGGGGTCGCGCTACATCACGAATTGGTAGAAGTTAGAATTCACGAGCTATTGAATCGGGTCCTAGTGGGTGAATGTTATACGAGCTTGCCTTGTAACCGGAAGGTCCTGCGTTCGAACCCTGACAGTGGGTGCGTACTGCCGATGATTCCCAAACTAGGATGAAACAGCAGCTGTCCAGTACTCCATGGCTGGTTTTCAATGGTTCTCTAACTGATATCAATCCGTGATCAACTCGTAAAAACATTATGATATATTACCTACCAGTCTACTGGTTAGGGAATAAATGATAATTAGTTTGAAGGAAGACGATAAGTTGGTATGATAGAAGTGGCTATTAATAGTCGAGCGTTCTGGGCTCGATCCTCCCTGGAGTCATAACTGTGTACTGTTGGAGAAACTCAAACCAAGGTTAAACATCTGTCGAGTCCAGTAACCTATGTCTTTTAATGATTCTGTAATTGATGTCACTACGTAATCTAGATCAATCAAATCCCCGCAAACCAACACTTGAGAAATATAAACTGTAACAATCCCCTTTGATTCTATGGGTTTACTATGACCAATATGTATAAGTAAGTACTCATACATATTTTGTGATACGAGGCTTTCAGATATAATTAGCACTGATTGATGGTGAGAGTGCTTTGAATCAACGACCGACAGATAGAAATTTAATTCAAACGTATATATATGTACATTGTTTTAATTATATTTCTTTTTGTTTAGAGTTTGGTTGTCTGGTGACACTTTTTTTCTTAATTATTTCTCTTGAAAAAAATAGATACATTGTAGTGATGTTAGTTAGATTTTGAGTATGTTAGATACAAAGGTTTTGCCTTGATGTGAAGTCTATGCTAATTGAAATGTGCAGTATTACCCACTTCTTTTGGTGTTGTTGTATATTCTGATATTGCTTAAGTGTAGCGCTGTGGCTGACTGGTTTAGGAGCTCAACTTTCAACCAACTAGGTCATGGGTTTGAACCTCCCTCCATATGCCCGCCGAGACTTAGGTGGCCAGATGTTATCACCAGCCTTCATACCACACACACGTGAATTGTTCTCCAGCCTAAATGATTTAATCGCGAAGCCTTCATTGTCTTCCTGGACAATGTTTTCAGTGCTAACTTTAATATTGCAGCCGCCTTCCCCTACTATTTAATTCACATAAATCATACTAATTGTTTCGATTATATTTCACTAATTTTTCTCTTTCTTTTTTACTGTTTCTTAATTCCTTACTTTTCTATTACTACTAATACTACTACTACAGCGTGCAACAATCTTAGGCTTTCCTACACATTCAGATTTTATGCTTGACTTACGTATGGCTAAAACAGCAGCTAATGTGGACAAATTTCTAAATAATGTTGGTTCAAAGTTGGAGAAAGCAAGACAGAAAGAAACACAACGTATGCTGGAGTTAAAGAAAGAAGAGGTGAGTTGGTTTGTTGTTGGTTGCCTCTGCTGTTGTTATCTGTACGCTTCCATATGTTGACTTTTCATATCAATGAGTGTTACATCTAACAGTTGCCACTGAAAGAATCTTTTTCTTTGTATTCTATGAGAGGAAAATATGATCTTGACTAGTACATTTATGATTTTGTGAAATGCATTACCATACAAGTCTACTGAAAAAAAACCCTGACTGACTGAGAACGTCGTGATGACTAATTTTGTAGGAAGTTATGAAAATTACTTATGATTCCATTGTAACAACAGAAGACAACGGCCAGGCAACAGATTGTTTATTAAGGAAAATCAACACATATTTATAGATTCAATGTACATTATTATAGATTATTGTTAGTAGAAAATACAGTCTTTTGATTGGTTGTTTCTCACAGAAAGTTAACCTTGCATCTCTTTGTGGCTGTGTCAGATCATCCATATGCTAACTGTATCCGCCTACGCAAAGCCTTTGTTCTCATTTTCTCACCATCAATATTGGGGACATAAACATTGACGTCAATTACTGTCTACCAACTTTTGCTAGTAGCCAGCTCTCACCACACTATGACTGAATGAGTTCCAGCGTACACCTATGCACAGAACTGCAACAGCTCAAGTCACAACAATTCGTGTAGCACACAGCGGTAGAAGAAAGAGAGATTTAAAACAACTATGATGAACAGAAATATGCGGGAGAAAGAATAATTACATGAATATTTAGGGAATCAAGGAGATTACAGAGAGTGAATGCAGTTGCTCTGTTGAAAACAATTTTGAGCTAGTGACCGACAGTCTGCAACGATTGATTTTCAGCTTAGCAGTATGTTATCTCCCTCCGTGGCTCAAACCAATTGTCAACGATTTCATGGACTGACCACTCCTTACGTCTTTCCAACTTAATCCAATGTCAGCTAACAGTTGTCATCGAGGAGAGCAGTGGCTCGGCATGTATGGCACGTGTTTTTGCTATTCCAGTCGATGTAGCTTCACAATCTGATCGTTTGACATTCCTCTCCTTTCTGACACTCCACGCCTAACCTCAATATTAATTACTCAGCATATTATACCACTTAGCATACGTGATCAAATAATAACTAACCTCTTCAAGTCTTCCACTTTCAATGGCCATGTTTCATAGCAGTAAGGAAGGAAAGGGAGAACTGCTTCACAATACACATGTTCTGTAATCAATAGTGGGATATCACGTCTACACCTGAGGTTACGTAGGTTGGTACAGGAGGCTTTTGTATGCGTGTTGAGATGCAGTTAGCAATCAGCCCATTAGGGTCGAGTCAACTTCCCGAATAAGTAAGGTAGTCAACACGCTCAAAATAATTATTTTTTATTACTTGGTAACAGTGGTGTTTACTTTTATGGACTGCCTTGGTAATCCAATTTTGAAACTGAAATAATTAGATTATGAGAACATAGAAATCTAGCTAAATGTCGGGGGATTGACCGTGCTAAGTTGAATAATCTAGAAAAAAAAGCTCAGCCATTTCAATACACTGACTTGTATGTATTCACACAATAGGGTTGGATAGGTTAAAAATATTAAAAAGTAATATAGTTAGGTGGAGAAAGAAGTTAATCACCGGATTTTTTCTCTCCATCAAATCAACATCAAACACGTGCAACGGTCGGGGACGACACAACACCTATACCGGATATATGGAAAATTATAATGAATAATTAGAGAAGGAGAAAAAGTACATATATAATGCAAATTATGATTATGAGCAATAAATTGTGCTCAAAAAATCATCCATGTATTAATACACTGTGTCGCTCACTTTGTTGTGTTATATCATATAAATCTATCTAATATGGAATTTCCAAATTCCCATTTACGCATTTACAAGAAAAAAAAAGACTGAAGGAAGAAATATATTCCTTTCCAATGTGTTCTTCATCATCGGCTGGCTTTACACTTATATATATTTTCTTACATCAAAATATTTTACCAATCAATCAAGTTGTTATTTTAGTTAGTCAGTTTTAGGTATCCGGGCAGGGGGGGGGTGAAATTAAGAGGTTAAAGGTCATCAAAACAATTAACTAACGGATGTTAGTAACAAGATATCTAAGTTTTAAAAGAGGGAGGGGGTTTGAAAATTAATTACGGAATTCAAGATAAGTTCATTCTTAGGCGTTGGCAACAAGTTATTACATAATCAAGAAGTTTGTAAAATATTGATGACTCAGAAGAGTTACGTAAAATACAAACAAGTTAGTGGAATTAGCTAGAATTGCCAAAAATAATAAAGTAAAAAGATAGTTACAACAGGCGAGGGGGAAATCGGCTTTAAAAAACTTAATACATATTATGTAGTTGGCCATGGCAACGAAAAGGGCTGTATAAATTTCATTTGAACAGAGATTTGGCTTGTTCAGATTAACTCCGATTACCTCTGCTGTATGTAAAAGTCGTATTCGTAGACTATGCGGGAGGTTGGGTGATATGCTGGAGTCGACTTGATGTCCTGTGTCGACGAGATGAGCTAGAATTGTATTCTACAACACAGTGCCCAAATTCTCTTCTCACATTAGTTTTGACCATAGTCATGTAATTAGAGAAGTTACTCTGTTTTCTAAGTTCCATATTGTATGTGTGCGTATTCTAAACCGTCAATTCAGTTATGTTTAGGCACTTTTATTGTTTCATGTGAACATAACTCACCTTACTCCTATTTTGCTATTTTATAAAACATATTTGCTGTAGTTACGTAACATGCTGTATTGATGTATCCTCTTTCTAGCTAAACTTTATTTCCACGCGAAAGTTTTGAACTCTGTATTTTTCGCAAGAATATTCCTCTCAACTATCATTTTAAGTCCTTTTAATTTGACAACTTATATGTCACTCCGCATTTATGTTACTCATAGTTCCCATTAGTTACTCTCTATCATCATGTAAATGAGTATGTTCAAATATCTTTTGTAATTTGGATGGATTTTCTTGTTGTTGACGTTGTAGTCAATTGAGAGGAATCCTGACTAACAGAGTTTCAACATAGAACCTTGCACATGAGTGCAGCAGTTCAAGTTGCGACACTCCATGTAACACACAAAGAAAGGCAAAAGAGAAAAAAGGAACGATAATAAGCGGAACTGTGAGGGTGAAAGAATAGTAGCATGGGAAGATATTATGGTTTAATGGATATAGGAGTGAATGCATCTGCACCTTTGAGAACGCTTTTGAGCCATATCACCAATTATCTCCAGTGGCCATTGGTTCTTAGCATTCCGAGGATCCCAATCAGGTGGCCTGCACCTCCCTACTTTGGCTCACTCAAACTAACTGTCCAAGATTTCATGGAATAATGCCATGTTTTGGTTCGACCTCCACTAGTTGTTTTGCAACCCTAAATCTGCGAAGTAACAAAACAAAAATGAGCTAATATGCTGGTAAATTTGCCGTTTTTGCTTTGTTCAAGTTCGCTGATGGAAAAGATTGTCTGATGTTGCTGAATCTTTGATTAATGTGTCCATTTTTCCTCTTATTCTCTTCTTTTTCCAGTGTGAACGTTTAGGCTATCCATTTAATAATCGTATTGATCCATGGGATACACGTTATTATATGAATATGGTTAAAGAAAAAGATTATTCAGTTGATGAAGAAGTCTTAAAGAAATACTTTCCCTTGACAACAATAAAGTCTGGCATCCTACGCCTGTATCAACATTTATTAGGCCTGAAATTTGAACGTGTTAACAATCCTGAAGTATGGCACGAAGAAGTAGAAATGGTGAGTTGCATTTTTGTTCTCGTTCTCAAATGTTATTATTATTGTATTGTATTGTGTTATGTTATGGTATTATTTTTATTTTATTCCTTTACGTTTCCGGTGGAACATAGGGCTTCAAGCCAGAGCTTTGAAGTTAATTTTTACGGGATGGAGTTACTAGCCTCATGCCTAACCCCCTCCCTCTTTACAAGTCTTATTACTAGCTTAACGAGGTGAAAGAGTGCATTGGCTGGGGGTCGAACCCTGAACCACCTGAGTGGTTGGCGAGCATACTACCGCTGTGCCATCGACGTGCATGTTATGTTATAAAAGTAATTATTTACAAGTGTTGGTTTACAGAGATTTGATTGATTTTATGGTTGATTATGAATTGACGATATCATTTAGAGAACGATTTAAAATCAGCAGAGAGTACTTACTGGATAGTAGTTTCATCCTGTAAACCAACCCTTGAAAGTTAATCTAGTGCTAGCTAACTGTGAATGACTATAAAATGAAGTTGTCTGAAGTTCTACTAAGAAGTTGTGATCAGTGGGAACCATGAAGTTGCGTGTGAGTACAAATACTCTTTAATAACACAGACTGGTGATTGCTCTATATATATCGTAAATCAGCGAAAGTTAGAATTCATGAACTGGTCATTGGATTCTATCCCAATAGTTGAATGTTGACCGTGCTTACCTTGTAACCTTGGTGGTCATGGGTGCGTATAGCTGGAGAGTCCCAAAGGAGGATGAAACCACTGTCCAAGTACTCCTTGGTAGTTTTCAGTGATTCCTTAAATGAAGTCAGTTCGTGTTCAAACATGAAATGTGATTATTCTCCTCAAATCCGATGATCAAAATTGGATGTCGTATTCGTTTTTATTTTGAAAAAAATTTTTATTAATCTGTGCATTTTGTATTTATGAAGAATCGTTTTGCACACATCATCTGTGATGAATGGCATTATTATTATCATTATTATTACTATTGTTATTATTATTATTTCCTTGATTGCCATTTATGGTACTAAGAAGGTCACATATCATGATCTGGCCAGTTTTGCTTTGCAAACGAAATTGTGGTGCATTCTCACTTAGACGTGTGTAATTCTCAGATTGCAAATTTGATTTCATATGTTACCAGTCCTACCAAATAGCTAGTTGTAATTCGTTTGGTTTGCAATGACTCAATTCTATATGGCCTGAGTTAAACGAGATCCTGGAGCTCATGTGCACCGTAGGTTTTAAAATTAGAATTTTCCGACTACCTTTGGTTGACTTCCATGTTCACAAGTTCAGTGATAAGTGCCAAACATTCTCACTCGCTCTTCCGATTTGATTACAAGACCCTGATCTCGTGAATACACTGAATAAGGCTTATCTACGTCTGGAGTTGTAAACCACCCTCAGTCACACACCAAGTGATTTATGGAGGGTCTCTGATGTTTCAAGAAAGTGAATTTATCAAATTTCTGTGACTAATAGATTAAGACAAATCTTTGTACAGCGAGAAACTGTTCCTTTCATTTAAGCTTTTTATACATAGGTATCCTAAGTATGTGTCTTTTTTGTTCAAAATTCAATATCAGGAAAAAGGAATGTTCCCATACCTTTTATCTCTTTGAACTAATGTAATTGAACGACCGGTCAATCGGTGGCTCAGAAGAAGAATGCTCGCTAGTCATTCTAGTGGTCTAGGCCCGATTCGCAGTTGACGCACAGATAAACCTCGCCTAATTTTCTAACTGCTAGTAGTCCATGCAAAAAAGGAAGGTTGAATATGAAGCTAGCAACTTCGTCCTGTAAAAGTGACAGCATGTCCACTGAAACTTCACAGGTTGAAGCCCTATGTTCCATTTGGAACGAAGTATAAAAAAATCATCCATGTACTAGCGTATAACATATTTTATGAGCCATCATTTGTCGACCTTATTTCGAAGCTATCCATAGTTATTTTGACGTCTTCGCTTGTTAAAAACAGATACAGTCTGTCGGCTTAAGTATTTAACTGTCAACCAGTCGGAGTGTCGGTTGTGAATCCTGTCCAATCTAATTCACTCTAGCTATTGGGTAGTTGCACCAGTCGTTATGCAACCAGTTTGGCTCATAGCCTAGTTTATGAAATATCTATGCTCGGTAAATGAATTTTGAGTAACAGCTTATTGTAAACAAATCATCTGTTCTAGATAATCTTCTTAAAATCAATAATGTTTATACTGATTCTTATATTATGATTGTGTATTTTTTTACTTATGTAGTATTCAGTAAAGGATTCTGAAACAGACAATCTCTTAGGTTACTTCTATCTTGACTTACATCCACGTGAAGGTAAATACGGGCATGCAGCTGTCTTCGATTTACAACCGGGTTGTTGTAGACCAGTAGACTCACCAAATAGTACTGCTGAAGGTGAAGGTGGTCAGTTGCCATTTGAACGTCAAGTTGCTATAGCTGCAATGGTAGCTAATTTCACAGCACCTGACAAAAAAACCGGTGAAGGCTATCTCCTGCATAATGAAGTGGAGACATTCTTTCATGAATTTGGCCATCTTATGCATCATATATGTTCGTATACAGAAACTGCTTTGTTTAGGTAAGTAAATCTCTTTTGTAGCCATAAATTATTTTATTGAAAAGAAAGTTCATGTAGATATTCACTATTTGTGTATTTGAAGATTTTTAGACACCTGCTTGTTGTTTTGAATTCATTCGTGATTTGAAATGAGCAGTTATCTAGTAGATTTTTTTGGTTCTATTTGGGGCCTCCTCAATAACTGGATGCACCTGTATTCTCAATGAGTGATGTGGTTACCACTGAGACTGTGAAAACCTGCACCTATGATTTCAGATGCCAAAGCATTTTCGAAGAAGGACCAGAAGAACCACTTCTTGTGCAACTAGTACTGACTATTATGTCAACTTCCATTCCCCGTTGATTGATTGCGTTGGAATGAAATTCTCGGTCTCTGTTGACTTGTCATCCAGATGAGGAGTCCTGAATAGGACGAAATGCACAGACCCTAGGTTCTACTGGTAGTCATTATCATCAACCAGAATAACATCCATAATCCTCAGACATCTTTGAAGCCTCCATACTAGAAGCCGACACATGAACAAAGACGCAGCATTTCGACCCAACATTATCAATCATTGGGAAATGCAGGTTGACTGATTTCAACGGGACATGTCACATGCTCTACAGCAGTATAAAATAGTTAGCCAAAAACACAACTGTCAAATACCTGAAAATCAACAGCGAATACTCCTAGCAAAACGGTATCAAAAAATTGTGTCTGCAAGAATATCGAACGGAGTAATAAACGTTCTCATCAGAGAGTCAATCCACGGCGCAACCGATATCGATAATGGTATAATACTTGATTGTGAATAGTCTCGTATCTCATATCAGCAAAGTCGAACATTAAGGATAAGGCAGGTAATAAGGATTACGTCAGACTAAGATGGGGTAGATTTCAAGATTGTGATTGACAGTTCGGGGATACAGAGTAAACACTTAGTAAATCAGCAGAAATATTCCAATAAATATCAATACTAGAGTGGTCAGAAGGGATTTTAAAATTATTCGCCGAACCACTTATTTTCATTTACTAAAATAAATATCCTCAAGTGAATTAATCTGGGATCTGATAACAAACCCCATAAGGAGGAGGACAAAAGGTTTATACACTCACAGTATAGCAAGTCTCTTAATACTTTGGGTAGTATAGTGAAGTAAAGATAGGACTAACACAAGGCTCTCTGATGTCACCGATGATTTTTCTGATTGTGGTGGACACTGTATCATGCGGAGCAGACAGTGGAGAGTCAGGGAGAGGCTCACGTTGGACGGAGAAAAAGACCATAGAGAATCTGGATTTCGCGGATTACTTGTGTGTCGTATCCCACAAATTTGAAGATTCCTTCCAACGAAAACCAACAAGTTGACAGAAAAGGTAGTGGAAACGGGACTTCAGCTCCACAGAGAGAAAATAGAAGTTATGGAGATATTCGACCAAAAACAAACACCATCATCTGGGAAGCATCATTTGAGAATATCGAAGCCAAGAGATTAGCTTGAGAAGGGAAGATAGGCGTTCACTATTCCGTAAGTAATGTTAAACATCTTTAACACTCAGTGTAAGGAACAAAAGTAGGATTTTCAACACTCAATTCAATGCTTCCATATGTATTGCAAAATTTGCTCGTGCGTCACCAAAAGCATTTCCAACAGCCTTTATCAGACTTTCATTAACATCTGTCTTGATCAGATGGCTGACCAGTCGTAAAGGAAACTCTGGCAATCAGCGAACCACTCAAGAGTCTGTTATCTGAAACATATGCAGTAGGAAATGGAGATAGATTGCACATGCGGTCAGAATACCTTCAAGTGAAATCTGAAATCGCTAGGATTTCGAGTGGAATCCGAATGGGAAACGATGAATTTGGTGTCCGATGGCACCATGGAGACAATTTTGTGATGAGGAAATGAAATTTTGTAGTTATGTGTGGAGATGTTCCGTTAAGGCCATATGCTCTACTCTGAACACAGAAAACGAGTAATCATCATAATAATGATGTTGACTAGGCTAAAGTACTTTGGATGACATTAGTGCCTGTGATATGCACTACAGATTTTAATATTGATTAAAAATATTGACTAGTAACTTACACTTCTGAAACAGCTGTTAACTTTATTTAATAGTTCACACATTCAATTATGTGATGTGGGTCGTTCTAGAACACTCATTCTGCATGCTGGTAGTCTATTGACAGTGTTCATGATATATATAATGTCACATAATAAAAGAGTATTATACAAAATCAATATCTTCGATTGATTCGACTTGGGTTCTGATAATGTCTGTAATGAGGGAAAACAAGAGGCTTGGTGGAAATTATGTATTCCATATATGTAAAATTCGTCATTTGCACAGATCTTGTGTGTTGTACCACTTCTACCCTTCGTATTGTGTTTCTTTGTCTTCTTTCCGTGCCTCCCATTTTTCACTGTAATAGTAGTTCATTTCCTTTCTTCGGCATCAAATCCATCTCTACATTATTTGATGTTTTTGTGCTTAGGTGAACGTCTCTCTATACACTACTGATAAATCTTGTCAGTAGCGCACACCACAATCTATTACGGACAAGAATCGTTATGTAGCGATTCTTCCATTGTAACACCATCTCCTTCACGAAAGACAACGTAATATTCCTATAATTTTTGGCTGTTTTGTTGATGTGTCCATAATTCTCTCTCTCTCTCTTGCTTTCTATTCCAGTGGGACATCAGTTGAAACTGATTTTGTTGAATGTCCATCACAAATGTTAGAAAATTGGGTATGGAATGCTGATGGATTGAAAGCATTACTCGGGACTGATGGTGATCCAATGCCTAAAGATTTATTGACCAATTTAATTAATTCCCGGATAGCTAATGCTGGCCTCTTTTATTCTAGACAAATTCTACTTGCATCATTCGATCAAGCTATTCATACTACAAAATGGAAAGTAAGCAATCATATATAAATATATATTCATTCTTCTAGTTACACTTGGAACATATAGCTGGAGGCTTGAAGTTCCGGCAGTGTCCCTTGTTGTTTTTACGATATGGTTGGTTAGCCTCATGCTGGACCGTACATCTCATTTGAACTTATTACTGGCTGCTAAACTAAACGGGGTTTAGGAGTGCGTCGGTGGACAGTTGAATCCCGGACCACCTGCGTGGTTGACGAGTATCCTAATACTAAACTACCGATGCACATATATAAGTGCCTAATGTGAGAAGACGGGCTGTGATACTACTACTAAATGCCAAATTAGATGAAGCGCGACTTAAATTTCAGACTAATCTGTTTGACGGAGAAGCCACCAAACTCTAAGTGGGGAAAACTCTGTAAAAGATTACTGAATTGTTTCATGGGTGGATATTTAAACCGTGTACAAAGGACCAAACCTCGATTCATCGCCTTCTAATATAAAGATGCAAGGTTCAGTAACCAAAAGCTAAAGTTATTTTCTTTAAAGTTAGTGAAATTGTAGGTGTCAAACGTCTCGTTGAATAGAAGGTGACCTTGTTATCCATACTGGGAGCAGCAAACCACATGCTAGTTACACTCTGTACAAAGTGACTCAATATTTCACTGTGTTATTTTCATTCATAAGTCTTCATGTGTATTGGTATTCAACGTATTCCAAATGGTTCCTCCATTAGCTTCATAAACAACATTCCTCCATCATTTTCAACAGTTCTCTAACTAATCTCAGTCAACTTATATTCACTTCATAATTTACTTCACTTTCAATATAGAATTTTTCATAAAGAGACATCAGTTGGTTGGAAAATCAGTGAAGATGAAAGGGGTGCACTGGACAGCTGTTTTGGCTTGGTTGCAAACTCTTCATCAGTGCGTACCTATAGACCCCCATCGGGTACCATACCCCAAGGACTGCAAATCACACTATTCGTTCAGTTTTTGGTTTAGAATTTAGTGACTCATAAATTCTAGCTTCTGTGAATTTGTGATAGGGATCCCCATCCCCCAACCCACTGCTATTGATTGACTTTTACTTCATCCTGAATTGATTGACCCCATTGACTGACTACCACTTCTCCTTAAGACCTCAGGACAGGCATCTTAATGAGCCGCAGATTAATATTCAGGTTTTGGGTTGAAATTAACCAAAGTAGACATTTGTAAAAAATTATATTTGTAAAATCTCAGCGAAATTGAAATGATTAATTCCAACGTTTCGTTCGGCAATCTGGTCCGAACTTCTTCAAGGAAATTAATCGAAATTAACATAACAGAGGTTTATATATAAAAGGAACATCTCTTGTTTTTTGAAACTTTGTCCAACCATGAGTCATGCAACATGCATCAACATGTATAATAAACAAAAATTATATGAACTGCGATCAAAATTTGACCTCAGACTTTCTAAATTAGTCTACTTTTGTTAAAAATATATGTGTATATGCAGTATACAATGGTGTGTGTGGGTGAACAGTCATAAAACATTTGTTAGAGAATCGGGAATTTGACCAAGTATGACTATTGTTGATACATATCCAATTTTATTTATTAGTCAGGATTTGCCATGCATCAGCTAAGATCACACCTTCACGTCTGTGCCAACTGTTGGGATTCACCCATATATGTAGGGCTTCTACAGTCAGTCTTTCTTTATATGAACCAAAACCCTTCTGTAGAACCTTAATCCTATCAAAGTTGATTTTATGTCCCGTTTCTATCGAATGCAGTGCAATCGCTAAGTTGTTTTCTAGCTTCTTCAAGTCTGCACAGGTTTTTGGAACCACCTTTAGACATTGTTTATGCTCTTTTACTCTTATATTTACCTGTCTCTTACATATACGGCGTTACAATCCCCACAATTGATCTGGTATACACAATTCTGCTGGTTTTCTTGTTCTACTTTATCCTTAACCTTCACCAGTGCTGAGCGTAAGGTGTTAGTTACACGAAAATACACTCTTATGTTATGATCGTTAAGGATTCGCTTTATTTCATCGGATGTTTCTTTGCGGTAAGGAATTACCGCTGTACTAACCCAATTCTTAGCATCAGGTTTCGATTCATCCTTGTCTTCACATTTCAAATATCTTTTTATAAAAGCTTTAGGATAATTATTTGATTCAAGAGTGGATTGAACCAATTTTAGTTCCTTGCTAATGTCTTCCTCCTCAGTAACTAGACGTTTGGCTCTGTTAATCAGATTCTTGGCCACAGTTACTTTGGTGGTAAATGGGTGAGCTGAATAGTAATCTAGGTATCTATCCGAATTTGTCGGCTTTCTGAAAATGTTTATTTTAAATTTGCCATCTAGTTTTCTTTTTACTAAACAGTCCAGGAACTCCAACTCGTTCTCATCAGATTCAACCTCTTTGGAAAACTTGATAGTTTCTGACATTTTGTTTATTGAGTGAAAAATTTCATTTAACAAACTACGTTTGATTATGACAAAGGTATCATCCATGTATCTTAACCACATCTTTGGAGGACTAGGGCATCTCGTAATTGCATTTGTTTCTAATGAGTGCATAAACAGTTTTGCCACTAGCGGAGATACTAGTGATCCCATAGCAATGCCTTCTGTTTGACGGTAAAGAACCCCTCTAAATAATAGTTTTTACAAATGTCTACTTCTCACTCGGTGCTCAATTATTTTGCAACTATCCGGTAAAATCTTGATCAAAGTGCTTACCAAACTTAATATCCGTCTCAGTTTTCACCATATAACATGTCTGCACTTGTGAACAGTGGTTGATGCCTAACTGACGGTTTGTCAGAGTGAAAGGTGTTCATTATTCAAGTGTGATTCAAATCTTTATCTAGATACATTGTTCTTTTTATTCATTATTTTACATTCCACACTTCTTCTACATTTCAGGATGATCCTTTGACGACGTTTGTTAACTTAAGTAAAAAATGGTTAGATATTGAACCTACACCAGGTACATTTATGCCTGCATCATTTGGACATTTAGCCGGTGGATATGATGCACGTTATTATGGTTACATGGTAAGCGAATTCGCCCATTATTTGTAGTATAACCATTCATCTTATAGTTTCATATGGCTCCATTTTTATAACACGGAGAATGTATCACGTACAGTTAGTTAGTTTGTTTATGTGCGTTTGTCTGAGCGTATTGTAAACTGTGTCTTTAGACATGTACATACATAAGATATCTATCTACCTGTCCAGTCATTGCTGCCTCTGCAGAATTGCCTGCAGCCATTGAACATCATCATATAAGTTAGTAATGAGGTCCAGAGGTGTGTGGAGATTTTCTCTCAATAGGTATTTTCATTTGGGAATACTGGCTTCGATGGCTTGAATGAATGTCATCCCATCGGCTCCCATATACTTAACGCTGTTCACTAGACTTGCATCTGGGTGGAGAAGTCAAAGTGGTGATCAGCCCATGAACTAACGTCGTCGGATGAAGGGGAGTTGTTGTAGGTTGATATATGTTAGTGCATCACGACTCCCTGGATGGTCTCTTAAATATTACCCAACTACTACTCAGTAGCTGAAGAAGTTATCAGACACCTGGCTGACAGTCGCATTTTGGTGCCGAACTCCCTTCTCTCCCTGTCCTTTTGAAAGTGATAGGAAGTGATGAAGGCGTATAATAAATGTCCCTAGGTTAGTATATCTGCCTGTTTCATTTTATGATCTTGTCCCTCAATTATTTCGCTTGTTTTTACTGTCTACACGTCCTAGTAGGAGATTTCCATATATTTATACAAACATGAAATGCATGTAGTCACATTTCAATTGTTCACTTTGATCCTACAGCCACTAGGCTGTAATGCGAATAGCCTGTCGTCGATTCACAAAGTTTACACCTTGTCTTTTAAGTTCCTTTTTCTAATCGGTATTGTGTATCAAATAGGATTCTGTACCATCCATATGTATAGTCAGTTACATTCGTCTAGTAGATAGGATTCACAACCAAGGAAATTATTTTCTGTAGTCATTATGTGTAACAAATAGAATGCCGATTAGATTGTAGAAAGTGGATACAGTTCTGTTTTGTGTTATTTGAAGTTATAAATGTGGTAACTCCATTTCTGATCGCCCAAAAAACTGAATACACAAGTTTAGAGGTAGGTGGTTAGTTACTACCTGTTTATAATTTATCTAAACACAAACTTGATACATAATGGACACCAAGAGATCTGCCACACAAAATCTCGTGGTTTGCGTGAAGGCCGAGATACTGCCCAGACGCATAGACCGAAGCAGGTGGTTGTCTTATAGGACCATCCCACTCACCCAGCCTTTGACTTGAAGTTTGATGCACAAGGCATTGAAGAAGCGTCAGGAACTGCGTTCTCATCATTTCTGGTGACCGAAACAGCTTCATGCGCCATTCGATCCGTTCGGATTCTGAAGTTCTTGGAAATTATAGGTCTGAGAACAAAGTTTCTCAGCTTTTATTGGTAGATTAGCATGTCCATAGCATGCACCATACATTCATATTTACCCTTTCATTTTCTGAGAGACACCCCATGTAGACTTTTTACAGTGATGATCTATCTAACTCAGTCATCTTTCGAATTATTTAAGCGCACATCTCTTCCGCTTGGTTGGTTATTACAGAAGTGCAGACGTGTTTGAACTAAACTCTAATTTTTCCCCCTGTTGTATTTTATTTTTGTTTCAGTGGAGTGAAGTATTCAGTGCTGATATGTTTGAATCACGTTTTCGATGTGCTGTAGACGGTGGTTGTTTAAGCCGTTCTGTTGGTAAAGATTATCGGGAGAAAATTCTACGTCCTGGTGGTTCCAGAGATGCAGCTGATATGTTGAAAGATTTTCTCGGCCGTGAACCAAACGATCGTGCTTTCTTCAGACTATTGAATATTAATGTGTAAATTACGCAAACACGCATACCGTATACTTTTCCATCGTTGTTGTTTTTTTCGATTTAATAATGTTCTGTTTTTTTTTACCGTTATGTGCTTATTTTTTTTGTATAAGTCTCTTTAATTGGAAGGAGACTGAAAAATAAAGTTTAATTTCTTGATATTAAGTTGTTCTCCGAGATAATTGATGCCTGTCGTCTTTGTACTCAATGATTTCCTTTAAAGAATAATAACAGCTCACTGGTTGGGTGGGCGAAGCTACCTGGCGCTCTGCAGATGGATGAGTCGAGAAAGTAGGAACTTCTTGATTTTGTGTACGGTTGCCTGCGTTTCGATTTTTGGAATCACGTAGGGGAGGAGGATATGCAGAGAATAAAGCAGGTAGAACAAATGAATTATATTCTAATTTTTATTCTATGTTTAGAACGTACTGCGGAGTTTCGTTTACCTGATCAGTGAGTTAACTTGTAAAACTTCGTAGCAGACAACAGTGCTGTTGGTATAAGATGGTTGGAGGCAATCGGCAGGAAGCCTTGGACCTAGGTTTCGTGCTAGTTGGCACTTATCAGCAAGGCGTATCTGCAACCTTGAAGGAACTGATGTCCCTTCTGAGATTCGAACCCGCGTCACCCAGTGCTGCAGTCAGAGACGTTACCACTGAGCTATTCAGGCTCGCAACTGACCTCCTGTAGGACTGTGTTGGATATTTGTTTTTTTGATTGAACACTAGTCAGTAACTAGTGTAATGTGTCTAGTCCTATCTTCGGTGCAGACTGAATTCTATCAGTCATGTTTGCAATGTGGCCACCATGCTAGGTGGCTCGGCATTACGGTGCACTGTGAATTGTTGGTATTAGATGGTTGGAGGCAATCGGCAGGAAGCCTTGGACCTAGGTTTCGTGCTAGGTCCAAGGCTTCCTGCCGATTGCCTCCAACCATCTAATACCAACAATTCACAGTGCACCGTAATGCCGAGCCACCTAGCATGGTGGCCACATTGCAAACATGACTGATAGAATTCAGTCTGCACCGAAGATAGGACTAGACACATTACACTAGTTACTGACTAGTGTTCAATCAAAAAAACAAACAGACAACAGTGCTGATTTATCCATAAGTTCTACTGAGTTTTTCTCATGATTGTTAGTTTGCGTAAGTAATACCTATAGTTATGTAAGATGTGCTATTCTGTCAGTTCGTGAGGTGTAAGTCCGAAGGTCGAGTGAACATACTTGCTCTGTGAATTCCCCGACAGCAAATAAGAATAAGTAATACACCGTTTGTGGTAGTAGTAGTAGTAGTATAACAACAGAACACAAGGGCTGAGCAACAGATCGTTTGTTAAGGAAATCAACACATTTATAAAATTATATTTGTAAAATCTCAGCGAAATTGAAATGATTAATTCCAACATTTTGTTCGGCAATCTGGTCCGAACTTCTTCATTGAAATTAATCGAAATTAACATAACAGAGGTTTATATAAAAAGGAACAACTCTTGTTTTTTAAACTTCGTCCAATCATGAGTCATGCAACAGGCATAAACATGTATAATAAATAAAATTGTATGTTTATGTGTAAAAGTACATCTCCTGTTTTAAATTGTTTGTCCTGTCATGTGAATCAAGAAACAGCTATCAATAGGTATGACAGGACAAACAATTTAAAACAGGAGATGTACTTTTACACATAAACATACAATTTTATTTATTATACATGTTTATGCCTGTTGCATGACTCATGATTGGACGAAGTTTAAAAAACAAGAGTTGTTCCTTTTTATATAAACCTCTGTTATGTTAATTTCGATTAATTTCCCTGAAGAAGTTCGGACCAGATTGCCGAACAAAATGTTGGAATTAATCATTTCAATTTCGCTGAGATTTTACAAATATAATTTTATAAATGTCTACTTCTCACTCAGCGCTCAATTATTTTGCAACTAATCCGGTCAAATCTTGATCACAGTTCATATGAAATCAACACATATTTGTAGATTTTCATGTACATTATTATAGATTATTGTTAGCAGAAAAACACAGTCTTCTGATTGGTTGTTTCTCACTGAAAGTTAGTCTTTCGTCTCTTTGTGGCTGTTTCTTGAATGTCAGATCATATATCTGCTAATTGTATCCACCTACTCAAAGTCTGCTGTGATTGGTTGTTGAGTCAGTCTTTGTTTTTATTTTTCTCATGACCAATATTGGGGACGTAAGACGTAAATTACTGTCTACCAATTTGAACTAGCAGCCAGCTCACACCACAGTAGTACAAGTATAAACGGCACGCGAACACTATTCTTTAGGGGCATGTGCTAGGTCACTGTCCTCCTAAATGTGGAATCTAATTATATTTTCAATCAATAGCAGTCTACCTTGTTTTTCTTCACGGTTATGATGTCTATCAGTTGAAAGTGGGAGATATAGACAAGGTTGCCCTTTTTAGCCCCATAAGTGTCTGCGTTCAATTTCTCATGTTTGTTGGAGCAATATAGTCAGTAATATTGAGGTTAAGTGTAGAGTGTTAGGTAAGTAGAGAGAGATTTGATCGGTGAGTTTGTGAAGGTGCATAGTTGAAGCAGTGCAGAAAAGAATAAAGACAAACAAGAGTGAGGGAATGTTGTTGATACTAAATCGTCTTTTGAACGAAATACGTGATTCTAACACCTTATAATATACGCAATAAAAAATGAATTTTTCAGAGGTAGTAATAATGCTCAATAAATGTTTAAGACAATAACTAAGGCACTGCACATAGGAATAAGAAGTTGTTAGGCCGAAACTTTGAATTTGCTACGTCTACTACACTGCTTTCCTATGCATGGCTTAAGAAGAGCATGGAAATGAAGCTGAAGTTCAACTTTTCAAGGTGTTGTCTGCATGGAACACTTCCATATCTTGGTATTTTGGATGAATATAAGTGAAGTACACATCCTCAAGTAAAATATATTGATATACCTTTGACTGTTTGTTGAGTGATACTTGACTCAGAAATGACAAATAATTGTTTTCAGATACCACCTATGCTTACTCTTAAATTGAAATCAATCATGACGACTGTAGAAACTCGCCGAGTAAAGCTCTTTGGTCGTTCTTTTCGTTATCGTATATTACCATCACTGAAGCAGCAATTTTCATTGAAGAGCACAAAGACCGTCGGGGTTGTAGGTACACACTGTGAAGAGTTCGCAACCAGGACCAGTGCACCCCTTTCGTTTACAATGATTTTCCAAACAACTGATGTCTGTTCATGACAAAATCCATATTGAAAGTGAAGTGAATATAAGTTGACTGAGATTATTTAGAGAACTGTTGAAAATAATGGAAGAACCATTTGTAATATGTCGAATACCAGTAAACATGAAGACTTATGAATGGAAATAACACAGTGACATATTGAGTCACTTTGTAGAGAGTGTAACTAGTATGTGGTTTGCTGCTCCCAGAATGGATAACAAAGTCATCTTCTATTCAACGAGACATTCGACACCCACAATTTCACTATACACTGGCGCTACTTAGCCCGTCCTCTTCAAAGACTTGTGTAGTGACTCAATAGTTGGGCTCCAAGATGTATTTAGTGAAGGCCTAATTATTTCAAGTTTAAATAGGCGTGTCAACGTTGACTTTAAATCTGTAATCTGTTGAACAGCAGGTGTTCATTGCTAATTCACTTGCATAACTGAATAATTAAAGACTACAGTAGTCATTTTTATTTCTCAGAAAGTGTTAGTTAGTAATGGAAATCTCAGGAACCATTGACTCAGCCAACTTAAGAGTTAGCGATCATGAATCGTGACTTCACCGAGAACTTTGAATGCACACCGTTCGTTTGATTATAGAAATTATTATTATTATAGCGCAACTATGAGCGCTATCGCACTTTATTCATTCACCTATAGGAACCTTCTCTACTAAATCGAATTTGTCTCTGACTAGCACACTTTTTGTCTTCCATTATTGGGTTTCGAAGACTTAGCTGACAACCACACCTGAATAGACACAGCATTCTTTGGTTTCTACTGTCCACTGGTACCAACATTGCAGATGTGTAGATTCGTGAAGGATGAATACCGTGACATAGCTTTTCGGAGGGGAGGCTGCTACTCTTCATGTAGACGAGACCATTTTGGTGAAATAAGGGTACGGTCGTGATCACACTACGCCAAATAATGTTTGGGTATGGGAATTTACTACACTACAATTCGTAAAGGAATCGTGAAGGTGATACCCAACCGTGATGCGGAAAATCTTTTACTTACGGCAAATTTAATCTTTAAGCACCAAAACGTAGCAACAGACAAGGCCCCCTTAGCCTTCCAATCACATGAAAAAGGTGATGTTTAAATATAAAGTGGATATATTTATGAATGTATTCATCAGAATGGCTATGAATGACATCCCTTTGAGATTTGTTAATGGCCCCTAGACTATTCTTCTACCTTCCTAAAATCCTTCAGTAGAATTGGTGTAGGATTCACAAAGTCGTTAGAACGGTTGACTCTGTAGTGAATGTATCCAAGCGATGACAATGAATAATATCCTTTCCGTTCATGTGTATGTATTATGTATCTAGTGATTATGGGTATTACAGCAGTAGACTTTGTATCTGGTATTCTTTCGATGAGTCCTTCCCGCAAAGCGATATCGCGGAATCTAGTCACCGAAAGGTTATTCGCTTTTGCACTACCTTGGTTCCTCTCTATCAGGGCTGTTTCATCTATGTGTACAACTACATCTTCTCCTCCCAATAAAGAAGTAACTTTCTCCATATTCCAGGATGTAATATCTGCGCAGTGCTGACACTACTTAACGGTTAAGATGAGACTATTCTCCGATTCACCGGCTGTAGCTGTCACAGAGTGGTTTAAAACCCAGTAATAACAAACAAAAATCTGGGTTAGTAAAAAAATCGACCTAGCGAAAAATTTTCCTACGAAATAATATAACCACCAGCTTACCTCCTCTCACACTAAATCGTCTCAAACAAACCTTACAGTGATAAGTGTCTTTCAACAAATCTGCTAAAGCTTTTTTGCTCATCATAACTCCTTAAGAACTAATTCTTTCCCTTCCAATCAATCCAAGTCTAAACAATCCTGAGATACTTTGTCAACGCCAAATCTGAGACATAAGTCCATGAGCAGGCATCTGTCTGGA